AAAAATTAGACTAGACAATTATATAATACACATCATTTATCTGCTGCTTTTTCATTTACAATAGGTGAGGTCAAGTTTTAGATAATCTTCCGATTATGCAATCTTTTTACACAGGTTAAGAAGTATATTAGAGAAACTTGACCTCACCAAATGATTAAATAATAAAAAGGAAGTGACATAATTATGCAGCGGACAACATAGAAATAATAATACTTGAGGAAATACGAAAGCACGGCTATAACATAAAACAAGGCTTCGCAACAACATACTAGCGCCCCTAGCGAGAGGAATCGTGAACAACACATTCAGGAGATACGCATTTCATGCTATTTTGACATAAAACTCATTCAAATGATACACAATTTTTAAAAAAAAATTATTATTAAAGCTATTAAATTCCACTAAAAAAATAAATTAGAAAAAAATAAATAAAATAAATGTGTGACGTCACACATGGCCTGACCCCCCCTCCCCCTGTCACAAACTGTCACACTTTCCTACAGCCCCTCCCCCCTCTGGAGCGTGACGTACTTTATGGACGGCCCCCAACCAAATATTCTTTATTCTTATTATTTTCTTAATAGCTTTCCCCCTGTCCCATTATCTTTCGGCCCGCACAAGCTTTTCAGAAAGTATTACGGCCCACCTTACATTTTGAGTGGTGCAGGCCTGCCTTAGAGGATTAGGTCTTCAGAGGCCTTGTTGTTCTTGAGATCTCGTGATCAGTGAGACAGTCAGTGGTCGATACTGTAAGTCAGTGGTCAATACTTTGAGTCAGTGGTCGATACTTCAAGTCAGTGGTCGATGCTTCAAGTCAGTTGTCGATACTTCAAGTCATTGGTCGATACTTCAAGTCAGTTGTCAATACTTCAAGTCAGTGGTCGATACTTTACGTTTTTCCCTTTTCCCTCCAATTCACTTCAACTGAAATTCAATCAACGTTTTAAAAAGAGGAAGGTAAATCTATTGACCTGGCTTTCAAACGCACGAGGCTCACTGCATAAATTATGTTTGAATGAAACTCACTAAGTAGATTATGGATTTATCACATCATCATGGGGGTTTATACTGTAATGTTCGGCAACAGCAGATGGTTTTATACGATACTCTGTGAGGTAAGACTAAAACTAGAAAAATTAATTATAATTCCATAAAAAAAGACAACGTATATGGTATTTAAGTGTGTAAACTGTAAACACTACATTTAAGTTCTTCTTCTGTGCTCAGTATCAAATGTTCTATATTCTTTAAAAAAAAACAAAAAAAAAAAAGAAAAAAACAAAAACAAAAAAAACAAACCAACAACCTTAAATTAATAATAAATAAATAAATTAAAAATTTAACAACTCACTGTAAATAATAAAAGCCACCGAAGAGTGAAGTAAACACTACATTTAAGTTCTTCTTCTGTGCTCAGTAACAAAAGTTCTAAAATCTTTAAAAAAAAAAAAAAAAAAAAAAGAAAAAAACAAAAACAAAAAAAACAAACCAACAACCTTAAAATAATAATAAATAAATAAATTAAAAATTTAACAACTCACTGTAAATAATAAAAGCCACCGAAGAGTGAATTAGCCTTAAAAAGGATGTAAAAAAAAATGTATTAATCAAATAGTTTTCTTTAATTTTTTTATTGTACTAGTAAGAGAAATAAGTTAATTTATAAAGTTAACAGTTAAACGTATGACAACCTCGCTCATGTTCAATTTCTCATGCATTAGACTAGAACACAATTGGTATTAGGCAAATTAAAAGAAATAAAAAATGCCAAGATTTTGTTTTGGTGTCTCTACAGCCTATGGTGTAACTTCTCAACTATATGGGCTACTAAAGCTCTTAATTAAGTTCTTTTACTGACATTTGATTTTAGGTACATTTTAAGGACATTTAATTTTAGGTGCATTCTTACTGACATTTGATTTTAGGTACTTTTTTTTACGGATAACTGATAGTAGGTACATTTTTTTACGGACATTTGATTTTATGTACATTTTTAAGGACATTTCCGACTAAAATTAATGATAATTCAAGATTGACTCATTAGATATACGTACGAGACAAGATTCTTTACTGATCCAAAAAAAGGGAAAAGTTTTTTTGTTATTTCATTGTCAATATTGAGCTGAAAAATTGTATAGTCGTGATCGAGTCGCCTACAACGAGGTGTCCTGGAAGTAATGCTTTATATATACAACAACAAAAAGGACACTAAAGAATTACAGGCCTGAAAGCGTTAGTAAGAGTCTTCTGCTTGGCGCTACTACAAGCGTGGCGTCATGACTGTGATCAGGTAAACTAAGGTGGACACAACGGAGACGTGGGCGATAACGGCGCTCTATTGTTTTGATATACACGCAAATGATGGAATATTACCGTTCAGGTCACATATAATAGACGCAAATGATGAAATGTTATCGTTCAGGTCACATACAAAACATGCAAATGATGAAATGTTATCGTTAAGGTCAGATACAAAACATGCAAATAATGAAATGTTATCGTTAAGGTCAGATACAAAACATGCAAATAATGAACTTTTATCGTCCATGTCAGATGTAATACATGCAAATAATGGAATATTATAATTCAGGTCATGTTAATGCATGTAAAATGCAAATAATGAAATTTTATCGTTCAGGTCACATAAAATAGAATCGGAACACAACAACTGCTATACCTGGAGGAGAAGATCTTTACGAGGAGCTCTGTATGAGAAGCTCTGTATGATCTGTATGAGAAGCTCTGTATGAGAAGCTCTGTATGAGAAGATCTGTATGAGAAGCTCTGCATGAGAAGCTCTGTATGAGAAGATCTGTATGAGAAGATCTTTACGAGAAGCTCTGTATGAGAAGCTCTGTATCAGAAGATCTTTACGAGAAGCTCTGTATGAGAAGCTCTGTTTGAGATCTGTATGAGAAGATTGGTATGAGAAGATCTGTATGAGAAGATCTGTATGAAAAGATGTGTATAAAAAGATCCGCATGACTAATCAATAAGTACAAGGTGTGACTAAAAGTAATTAATATGACCCCGTGACATTTACTTTTCTTTATTGTTAATCAGTCTTAAAGTGTTGCTCCATTACTTCTTTCAGTAAATTCCCACCGCCCATACCACATATCACGTCTGCATCTACCAGTGACTCATGGCCCTCGGTCTGCTACGAGGCTTGATGCTCTTCACGGCCACGTCATGCGGCATCTTCGTGGTGCTGGAGTTGTGCACCTGGCGGACCCCTGTCACCAGCAGCTGGAGGTTGAAGCCGTTCTTCCTCGATAAGCTGGGTCACCTGTTGGGGCATGGCGAGGACACGACCGGAGAATTCAGATATGAAAACACGCGTGGAAACTACAGTGTGGGCGTTCAAGATCATTCTGATGAGTTTTGGGAGTATCCTGCTTCGACGAGAGATGAAGGTGGAAAAAGTAGAGCCTCGCGAGGTTTTGTTGTTTCCGGCAATGATGCGGCTCTACAGAAGTCTTCAGATTATTACGCCGAAACGAATTCGGTTGAACATAATGTTCTAGATGCTGCTACTGAGGTGGATTATCTCGCAGGGATCTTAGCTAAAAAGCTAGAAAACAACAACACCAAGCTCATCAAGTTCAAACCGACTTGCCACGATGCCAGAACGAGGGCCAACAGCTGCGTCGAGGGTAAATGTCTCCAGCTGGCTCTCCCGGATGATCTCCGGACGAGAGTCTCACAGCTCATCAGCCCCACCGGTCTCCGTCTGACGTCAGATCAGCATCAAATTTTAAAGGGAATGAGTGCGGAAGTGAAAGGCGCGTATGACGTCATTTTCGTCACCGCCGCCTCGTCGAACCATTATTTAGAATCGCAGGCGCTGCTGAAAAATCTTCACGAAAACGTCTTTCCTCACATGACGAAGAACTTCACGCTTGTGTTTTACAATCTCGGACTAACGGACCGCGAGCGAGCTCTGGTGGTCAAATACTGCAAGTGCCAGGTGTTCGATTTTCCTTTCGAGAAATTTCCGAGCTTCATGCGAGAGTTGAAATGCTACGCGTGGAAACCCGTGATGATCAAGTCCCAGGTCCCTAACGCAAACGTCGTCGTCTGGGTCGACGCTTCGGTCCGTTTCCACAAGGACTCAACCGTTGTTCAAAACTTGATCACCCGATCACGGGAACGGGGCGTTCAGATCGGTGGCAGCGGCTCCAACTCACCGTTTCGCACCCTGGCCAGCATGTACCACTACTTTGGGGATGAGCCGTGCGCGTACTTGAATCTGGGCCAGGCCAAGGCGACCGTTGGGGCGTACCACAGCGAGCACTTTGTCCAGCGGGCCGTTCTGGAGCCGTGGGTCGCGTGCGCGTTCAATTCCTCGTGCATCTGTCCGACGCGAAGGTTCAAGTCTGGCTGCCACATGACGAGACAGATGGAAGCGCGAGTCGACTCGTCTGCCACCGCCGGCGCGCCGATAGAGTACGATCTGTGCCATCGCTTTGACCAGTCGGCGATCAGCATTATTCTTCATAAGCTCTACCAAGACAAGTACGGGCTGGTGATGGTCAGCACTAAGACGTTCTCGGAAATCCTGCGAGGGAACCGGACTTTTTATTTTCCAAAACAATGATACTTCTTGTGTCTTAGTCTTTTGTTATGGCCGTTATCGTTTAGTTTTCAATTCGTACCCTAAACCATTCAACGTGATAAACTGTAAACATTATTTGAGGAAAACCCCATCCTGGAACAGACGACTGATATTAGACCGAAGATGAGCGTTGAAGGAAGACAAATAAACCCAGAAATTAAATGTGTTTTGTAAGTTGTCTGTGTAGATCAGGATCCTCAAACTTTTTTAAACCAAGGACCGGATCAGTGTCCTTCAGACATTATCGGAGGTCGGAATTTAGTTTGAAAAACAAAACAAAACCGAATTCTATGCATAACTTGCTTAACTTGCAAAAGACAATAACATCTTTAAAAAGAAGACAGTAATTTTTCCAACACAAACGCCATAGGGAAGTCTGGCAAAATGAGATGATGAATCTTCGGTTCCATATTTGTTACTGCTAGTTAGGTTTTCCAGTCGGGCCGGATTTATGATACCTGGAGGGCCGGATCTGGCCCGCAGTCCTTAGTGATGACCCCTGGCGTAGATAATAATATATTATTCAAGTATTCTCTGCTTAAAAATGTGAAATCATTTATCAATAATTCATGACTATTTCATTTAGGCAATTCAGTTTGTTGAGTCAAATGGATATTGAATATTTTACTTTAACACTATGATGTAGTTTTATGCATTTGTAATATCTTTAATATGTTGTTTATGGTTGCAAGGGATGAAAGACTTAGAATGGGTTTTCTCGTATGTAGTTTTTGTAATGTTGCGTTTTGTATTTAAATGTGGTATAATATCGATTTTTTTTCATTTCTCTTTTAATGTGGTTGAATTTCAACGTGATTTTCAAATAAACTTTATTATTATTTATTAGTTTTATCTTTTAAAACGATACTATGTAATTATGTTCACTTTAAAAAATAACATTATCTATAACTAGAATGTTGTAGAATATTGTTATGCAATCGTGTTTGAGAGAATGAAACGTATAAAAAACAGAATGAAAGTTCTAACAAAACTATATGAAAAATATAATAAAACTATATGCAAAGAATTATAAAATTGTTTAAAACTTGAATATTTTATTAATTTATTTATTTTGCTGGTCCCGAATTATAATCCGATCAAATTTTTTAATTAACCATCTCCACAATGAAGTTATGGGTACGTTCCGTGTCACGTGTCATAAACCTGATGTTTAGTGCTGCACTGCCGCCCAACTTTGAGCTTGTCCACCAATCAATAACCTGAACACATCTCTAACATTAATGTCACCGCTGGACGGGCCATAACCACTCATTAAATTCTCGTAAACTCCAATATGTCCGCACGGTTGCCCTTTAAAAATTTCGCACCGAATTTTCGAATGCTCTTTTCAAACGGCAATTGTGGGACGTTGGCTTACGTCTGCGGCATCTGTTAAAGTTAAAGCAGATGTGAATATTATCGGAGTTTGTAATTATTTGATGATTTTTTCCATCCTTGCCTATCAAGGCACGTCCACTGTTACCAAATCTGATCGTTTGATCATTGCCTATCCTTTCCTATCAATGCACGTCCGTGGTTGCCAGCTCTGATAGTTTGATCATTGCCTATCCTTGCCTATCAATGCACGTCCGTGGTTGCCGGCTCTGATAGTTTGATCATTGCCTATCCTTGCCTTTCAATGCACGTCCGTGGTTTCCGGCTCTGATAGTTTGATCATTGCCTATCCTTGCCTATCAATGCACGCCCGTAGTTACCAACTCTGACGCTGTGCTCTTTATCTATCCTTTCCAATCCTTGTGTAGCCTTGTTGACCCACTCTGACAGTGTTATCCTTGCTAAACCTTGTCGGTCCTTGTAGGCACATTGTTACCGGATCTTACATATCCTCGCCAGTACTTTCTATGCTTGCAGGAAGCCCTTAGATTCCGACTCGGATAGTATGAATCTCGGCTATCCTCACCTACCATTACAGATCTATGGTGATGGGAAGCCACTGGGGGCCCCCCTGGTTATTAATCGTCAGTCTCGAGGAAATCATCTTTTTCAATGATGGTATTCTTGATATTTCTGTGGCGAATAAGATATGCTAAGATGCAACGCCCCTGGATCTGGGGGTGAGGGAGGGATTCGGTGATGGTTTTGATAACAAGAGAGGGTTGTGGTGATGCAAAAAAAGGGTTAAGAGCCCCTGACCCAAGGCCGTGTTCCTCCAGCGAGTTCCGACACAAAGTGCCACGGGGAACCTCAGGGGAGAGAACTCCTTAATCTGACCTAATTAAAAAAAAACTAATGGATATTTCTGAGTTATTTCTCTTAAAACTTTTTTAATAAAGGAAAACGAAAAAAAAAAAAATAAATCTTTCTATTGTAGATAATAAATAAATAAATAACGAAACAAACAATTTTCTTCGCTTCGAGCTAAAAATTATTTACCAGCATCACTTCCCACGGAAAGAAGTTTTTTTTTAATATGTTGCAAATTAAAAGAAAAAAAATTGTTTCGGGCATTGTTACACACAGCCGCTTCCACAGAATGTGTATTGAGAGCAACTGGAAAGGAGAGTACAGGACCGCGATGAGTGGAAAACTCTTTTTGACGGCCTATGCCCCAGACCGGGGTAAAAAGTGAATAAGAAAGAAGACCAAGACTAGAGCCGCCACACACTTCAATAAATTGTATTGATTTAAATCGAACTATGATATCTTTTTGATATATTACATACGGCGCATTATACAGTTAATTAAAAAAAGGTGACGGTTACTTCCACTTTGATCGACGAACATGGGATGGGGGAAAAGAGGGGGGGGGGAGGTGGTGCGGAAAATCGAAAACGCCCACCGAAGTCTGACGAGAGTATAGGGGGAGGGGCTTGGGGGAGGGAGCTGACACGCTATCTGACACATCATAAAGTATCACATTTAACACAGGGGGGGGGGGGGGGGTTTACTGTTTTAAGAAACTGCACTTGGTAGTAAATAAATAAATAAAAGCTACCATGCTTGCTCCCCCACCCCCTCCGCCCCCCTCCACCACCACCCTCAAAATATTTAAAAATTAAGAAATAATTTAAAAAATAAAACACATATGGCTAAATAACGTATTTTCCTGTGTGTATTTGTGAATGCCCTTCAAAATGACCCCAATTAAAAAAAATAAAATAAATACAATATTTTTTTTAAAAATTCTCGCTCTTGTTGTCTTCTATTTTTATCACGTAATGATTTATTTTAAATAAAATTTTTCTTAACGCCCCTCCCCCCCCCTTCCCCTTCTTTGCAGTTATGACGCTGTTTAGAGCTGCGTTTGTTATTTGAATGCCTACTTAGTTTTGTACGATAAAGTAAGGCCTAGACCGGACATCTTTGAAGCCTTGACTGTCACAGGAACTACACGTGTGCACACATATTCTAGAAAATCACAGAACCCTAACCGCCCAACCATTTACTGCATGACTGTATGCAACACAACTGGGAACATTGTTACATCGAGATCATCATCCATTTTGTATGTAGGTCAACACCAATCCAGTTTTACAATACATTTTTTGTTTAGTGTCGAAAGGAATGGCTTTTAAAACATTGAAGACGAGTTTTTTTTTATTGGGTTTGGGGGGGGGGGGGCGAAGGGACAGCATGTTCCGTGTGACACGGTTACTTCCACTTTGATCGACGAACATGGGATGGGGGAAAAGAGGGGGGGGGGGAGGTGGTGCGGAAAATCGAAAACGCCCACCGAAGTCTGACGAGAGTATAGGGGGAGGGGCTTGGGGGAGGGAGCTGACACGCTATCTGACACATCATAAAGTATCACATTTAACACCATTAAGCCAATCGTAAGATACCACTTCCATCATGAGCCATGAGGAGGTGTCACACCTAACATGAGCAAGGGGGGGGGGGGCAGCATCACGTCCACGAGCCACAGACACTCGAACTGCTAACAATTGTGAGAAGAGATAATTTATGAGGTGAATGGTCTTAATAATTATTTTCCCATTGATTGGTATCAGTGGCAAAGGAACTGGGGTGGCGGAGGGGCTTATGCGCCTGGGGCGGGACTTTTCTTCTCTCTATTTTATTAGCGGCATTTTCCGGTCAACAGCAGATATTTTTTTCTTCTTGAAGGTTGGGGGGGGGAGGGGGGCAATAATTTTGGCCATCCCGGGGGCACTAACCCTAGCTAAGCCATTGATTTTTTATAAATATTATTATTTAAACACACATATAAAATTATAAGCTTACAAAACATGTGAATATTAACTGCAGTTTTGGGACCGCTGACGATAAGTGATGTCAATGAACAAAGCAATTATGCGTGTGATGTTTACATTTTAAATATTTGAAATATTGTACGGTGTTTTACTCATAAGTGTCACTACTATAAGCGTCCCTTCTATAAGTGCCACTACCATACGTGTCAGTACTATACGTGTCACTACTATAAGTGTCACTACACAACAATGTGTGTTTGGGGCGTCTGTATTTACACAATTTAATAGAATAACAACAAACATGTTTTATGTCACATTCATCAATCAACAAGTGACACTTCTATCACAAAAAATTCCGGCCTGTGTATTGTGTACAGAGACCAAACACATCGGCAAATATGGGATCTTTGCCACCCCCCCCCCCAAAAAAAAATAAATAAATAAAAAAAAAATAAAATAAAAATAAAATAACAATAACAATACATGTAATAATAAAATTCTTGACATACTCCACGACTAAAACAAAATGAAGTTGGGATTTTTGCATGCATTCCGCACATGAAAAACGCGGTGGTTACGCCCATGGCTACGACACAAATAAGCCCCCCCCCCCACCTTTTTCCACGTGTTTATTTCAATCCCACCAAGTGAAAAATTAAGTTTACAACATCTCCTACCCACGTTAAAAAAACAACAACAACCGGTTGTAAAATATTCCTCCCATAATGCAGCTCGTGTCAACACCGAACTGTTTCCCCGAGGCACCCGCGTGTTAACACGAGGTGTGGACATACTCTTGTAATTTTATGCAGAAATGTTTTTGTGTTGTTTTTTTTTTTTGGTTGTTCCCCCCAGCCCAACAGTTTCTTCTTTTTGTTAC